GTATTCTGTATCACAAGCCTCGAATTTTCATCACTTGACTATCACACCACCGATGTGTAATCAGCAGCTTGAAATCATGATAGCTAGAAAGCTGCATTAAAATGGAAAACCTAGTCAACCCGATTTTCTATTTTCTTTTTAAGAAGACAAGAATAAACACCACAAATGCAAACTGGTCCCTTCTGTGGGCATATTCTCTCAAATATTTCTTAGAGGCTTTACTCTTTTAACCAATGAATAACTGGTTGAGTTCATATCAAACATATTGTTATTCATGCTAATATTTTCAAATGTGAAGCTATCTGTCTGTGGTATATTTTACAGAAACTGTTTCAGTGCTAGCCAAAACCTGAAAGCTGCAGTTACTGAAGGTCTGGCAAGACAGAAATCTGACATTGGTTTAAAGGAGCAATGTGTTGTGAGTGCTTGACTTGTCTTCAAGAGTGGTTCTGACAGACAGAAGATTTTAAGCTTATTAACATTGTAAGTCAGGCAGATGGTTTAGTTCCTGTGTTGTCCATGCTCAATGAACATGAAACCCTCCTAGAAATACTGGGCTGAGGCAGAAGGTCTGCTCAGAGTAGGAAGCAACAGGAGCATATCTGTGTTGTGATCCCTGGGTACCAGCTGCACTTCCAGAGGTGCCCAAGGGAGCATGGCACCTGAATCCTATTGCCTTGCCTTGCTAAAATGGCGACCAAAAAAAGATGAGTACCAGCCCTGAAGCACACACTACCCCCAGTTTTGTGATCCTCCCACCATGTCCTTTCCCCAAGACTAGCTTCTCCACTGCCAGACTGCATGCAGCACAGCACAACCACATGAAACCCGTCTGGCTGACTGCAAGATTTCTGGTTGCAGAGCCAGCTTCAGAGTGAACTTGGCCCCAGCTGCAGAGTTAATCGGAAATATTTATCCAGCAAACTTGCCTGGTGGATTTCATGTGCTGTTTGATTTCCTCATTCTTGGTGTTTAATCTGTCATATCAGAACATGTGGCTTAGTAGAGTTGGTTGATTCTGTCTAGAGAAGTGGGAAGGATGGCAGGTGAAGCCCAGAGATGGTACAACCCCAAGCCCCACCTTCTGGAAAGCCTGATGAGGACAAGGAGGGTGAAGTTTCAGCCAGAGATTTTGGAGAAGGGTTGATGGACAGCCCCCAGCTGAGAGCAGGCACTGGTTGGATCATCAGTATTCAGTACAATGCCCTCCTTTGGGTAAAAGAGATAGAAGTAGGATATCTCTGTGCAGGATCGTTGGCTGATTACCACAGTGTAATTGCCAAGTAATCCTAATAGTGTTTGTCCTTTAATCCAAAATGCTCTTAACCAAGTCATCTGAACTCTTTAAAATAAAAGTATTTGTTCAGTTGCAGCTCTAAAAATACATGTGTCTCTTCTTCCTTGCTCTTTTTAACTAGTTGAGCAATACCTTGACTTTGTTTCAAAGCCCTTTTGCCAAGTTTTTGTCTTAAGCACCAGTGACAAGAATATGAAAGGAATTAGAAAATTATTATGGGATTAAGACAGAATCTTGCTCATACACAAAAGACATGTTGATTCCTTGTCCTCTGAAGTGAGTAGCATAGGTTCTGCAATTTAATCTGGTGTAGCCAAACACAAAAGAAGCTCATGTGCAGTAATGTATGTGGTAGGTTGGAGTGTAATGCATGGAACAAGCTTTGATTAAATAAAACAACACCCTCCCCGAAACAGTCTTTAAAGGAATAACAAAAAAATATCTTTCAGTTTTTAGTGAACTGAAGAAAAATTATGCCCTATGTTTGTGAAGAAATAGTTATTTCTATGATAAATAGCAAAAGTGGGTTCACTTCTAGCTACCTGATTTTATAATGTTTCTGTCTCTCTCATCAGCAGAGAAGTGCTTTGCTGCATGCGTGGACATTTTTCTAATTCCACAATCATTTCCCATATACAGGAAAACTAGGTTGGGTACAAAAATAATTTGTTTGCTCCTTCTTTGTGAGTTGTCCTCCACATCTAATTTTCAGCAAATGGAAAGGCCCCCCTCCGTATCCTCTTCTTTGCACCACAGATATGTCCACAGCTTTTCTAACAATGCCATGTATATGAGAAAGAAACTTTTTTTTTTTGTGAGAATGACATCCAGCTCTGTGGATTTCTGCTTGTAACAAAATCTGACCAAAAATTAATTACTTTAAAACTCTACTGAGTGGACTTGCAGCTATTTGAAACTCTCAGCTAACTAATGATTAGTCTTAAACCATGAACTCTAAGGTTAGTGCTTGCAAACCATAAAGTTAATGTAAATGGGAATCTTGCATCAGTGAGGACTTCAGGATGTGGCTGTGTGCGTTACTTTGTTGCTTATTCCAGTTCCTGTTTTCTTCTGCCTTTGAAAACCCCGTTTGAAGTTTGCTTCTTAATCTCCTAAGTTGTTGACTTGAAAGTGCATATCGGCCCTCTTATGTATGAGTCACACCAGCCCTCAGTCATCAGCATTGTCCAGAAATGTAATGTTTCCCTTCTCATCTCTTCTTACCCCCTTAACCAAGGGCAGCTATGATTCATACTGTAAAAGGGCTTGATTTGCATTTGATATGAGTCAACAACTAATTCAAGATCAAGAAACAGCATCAAACAGGCCTTACAAAAAGGGAAGGAAGCTCTCTTATTTACTGTGGCTGAATCAAAAGTAGAGGCATAGACATTATACTTGAAAAAAACAAAAAAGTAGATTACACTGACTTGAAAACCTCTTCTCATAGATACTACAAATGCTTGAAGAAATTAAAATACAATAAAATACCTTGTGTTCCAAGCACATCAAACTGTTGTTTCTTTCTTAATCATCCCTGCCAAGGAAACTATTCTGCTTTTTTTTCTTTACAGAAATCTTTGCGCTAGACTCTTTTCAGGTGAGCAAAACAGATCTAAAAATCTCCCATAAGAAATCCTTTCAGGAATGCACTTAAAGTATACACATCTCATCTTTATTTTAGACATAAGTAATTATGTGCTTACCGGCTATTGATGTCTGTAGACTTAAATCACCTCTTTAAAGTTAAGTACATTTATAAATTATTTTCCTTCATTGAGGTCTAAATGCACAAAACAAGGCAGAGGTCTAGGGGGAGGTCAAAACAGGCCAAATGGCTATAATGAAACCATAGGTCCCTGCTTGCAAATCTAGAAATTTACTTCAGCGATTTTGAACTACCACCACTTACCAATTCTGGATAAGTAATGCAGCTAAGCAGGAGCACACTTTGCAGGATGACTGCACCCCATAGTTTCAAGGCAATTTTCCTTGGAGCAAATTGATGTATGCACTATGAATCTTGCCTTTTACCTTCTCTTTTTCAAAATTCACTTTGCCCAGAAGATGACCTGTTTCTTTAAACTGTCTTGAAAGAAGATGCTAGAGGAGATGGAAAGAGAAATTTTTGGTAACATAATAAAGAAATTAATATGTCTCTTCTCCCTCTCCTTGTCTCTCTCTAAATATTCAGCTTCAGTTTCTTCCCTTCTGCCATTTGCCATCATCATAGTTGTCTACCTTAACTGTAAATTCTGTGAAGCTCATCTTATGTCTACAGGTGGTGACCAACAAACCACCTGGCATTTTCAATGTAAGCTAATGACTGCTCAAAGGAAGAGTTTGGGAAAAAGGGAGATAGATCCCTGATCAAAGTCAGTCTACTTACCTTAATAGCTGTAAGCTAAGTAGGCAAAATAAGGTGCTGGATCTCACAAATGACTTTCATTTCTCCATGAAGGAGGGGGAAAAAATTAAGTGACAATGCAGCTAATTCTGCATAGCTTTCCATCAGGCTCTGAGCTGGTACTCATTTGCTTGTAGCTCTCCAAAGTGTTTTGTTCAGCCCCTTAAACCAATGTTGGCTGACATCCTCTCTCTTTTCTTGTCTGCTCTAGTTTGAATCTTGGAGCCTCAGGATGTTTGTCTTTCTTCTTTCTTTTGTGCAGTTTCTAGATGGGTGCTATTTGTGTGGACGTTCTTAGTACTCTTCTCAGAGAAATTGGTAAGCTTGTTTTATAGGAAACAAGTGATTTTTACAGCAGCATTTCTGTCAGGTACCTTGTGTGTGCCATTTTGTGACTTCAAAGACTTTAAGTCGTGACATACTGTCACAGTATGTCTGCTGCTTTAATTTGTTTGAATATATTTATTAAAATTTACAAAAATGCATTCATAGCATCGTTGGTTTTTCAAGGCAGGTAAGTTCTATGCAGAAATTTTTTAAGTGAGATCACATATTTTATGATTGCATACTCTAATGGTGATGTTTTTGGAAATTAGGAATAATAATCCACAACAAAACCATTAACAGTTATTCGTTTATGTACATAAACCTATATACACCAAATGTGGCCTATAGGTCTAACTTTGTTTAAAATTACAATCAGGGTTTCTTCCTTCTCCCCCAGTTTTTGAGTATTCCTATTTTTGACGTTTGTTTGTTTGTTTGTTTTTTGGGGGGATGTCCCTTTATCTGCATTAATTTTGAGGCAAATGCCATGTATTTTTAACTAGTCTTTTCAGCTTCTGGTGTCCACACACCTTTCATGTACTTATTTTTGTTATTCCCTATGTTAAAACTTTACATGCTACTGATCTAGAACCTTTGAGTAAAGTACCATCTGCAACATGAATTTCTCATTCCAAGCTGTTAAATGGAGTAGGTTTACGTTTGGAAGGCCAGCCAAACCTCATCACTGGTATCACCTTTCACAAAGTCTCAATTTTGCATTATGGTCTCTTGCAGTGACAGGCCGCATCCTGCCTGAGACCGAGGACATTTTCTCAAGCCTATTTACATGAACAACAACAGATTCTGGTGTTTGTACTACCTCTCTTTCATTAAAAGCTCAGACAGAATGTCTGCTGACACAAGGTCTTTCCCAGGTTTATATTCTAGCTATAAATCATCCATCTGCAATCGACAGAATAACCTTTTCAAGGAAAGTTGTGTTTGTGAAACACTTTTCTCCATCATTGTCATAAGCGGTTTGCAGTCTGCTTCTACAAATGAGGAACTGGGTTTGTTTTGTCATGCATAAGCACCAGAGACTTTTAATTTTCCTGACCATATTCACTAGCATCCAGCTTAAGTCAGGTTTCCTGCAGCATTAACTAGTGTCTGGTGATTCCCATTGTCACAAAAATGTTGTTGTGAGGCCTCAGCAGGCTCAGTTGCCAATTTTGTAGAGCAGAAAATCAAAGGAAGGGCATCTTTATAAATTGTGCTTAGGCTAGTTGTTGTGATTAACGTCTTTCATACACTGTCCATTTTTTCAAAATAAAGCTTTTAGATCAACAGTTACAGCAGCCAGATTGGATAGATTTTTTTCAGCCAAATTTATCATTCCTGTGTACTTTCCTCCTTTTTAAGTAGAGAAATAGTGATAACCATCTATAACCCCCCAAGGCCTAGCAGGGCCCCTAGATCAGTTCTAGTTTCCCTACATAAGTTAATTATTCACCCCTACATTTACATCGCTTTCTGTTAAGTTCCAACCTTACACTACTGAGTCCGTGCCCATGATAGAGTTCCATTATTTATACTTACAGCAAAATACCATCAGTAAACTTCAGTATCTTCCCATGCTTGGATATCCTTTTGTGAATTATATGGGTGCAGAGCATAGCCTAAAAATTATGGTAAAGCACTGTGTTCAGAAAGCATAAGTTAAAATTTCACAGACACCATTTCCTCTTCTAAAGAAATTTTCCACAAGCCATTTGAAGTACTTAGGGTGAGATGAGAGGGAGGGAAGCAAAATACATTTATTAAGAAATGCCTTTCCTGGTAGATATGTGGAGTTCTGTAGAAAGATTTTGGCCCAGCCCCTTGGGAGGCAGGTGTAGGTAAAGATTTTCCATTTTCTTTGCTGGAGCTGGTAAAGACCCCTTCTAAAAGGTGCATCAGTGCTCTCTGCTAGACTCAGAGCAAGAAGTCTAATTTCTTCCTTAAGTTTTCATCTAAGTACACTTCTAAGTATGTGTTGGCTCATGTATAACAGGGAAATTGAGTTCTGTTAACTGTATTTTGTATTCCATTGATAGCTTTTCTATGCCATTAAAAACATCTGAGAATATAATTTCTACCTTTTAATGGCTTCTGTCCTCCTACTGTATTCACTTTCTTAACAACCTAATATCTGGCATTTTCACCCCTTGAGTAAGTACTCCCTTTCCTGAAAATGTTTTATAAGAAAACAGTTATAAATGTTATTTCTTCAAGATTTTGTTATACTTTCACATGGAGTTCGTATCCACACATAAAGTTTTGATTTTATTCTAGTGTCATCAAAGAAAGCTTTTATCAATTTTTTTCCTATAACAGGTTTTTCTTTTCAAAACCATTTCTGTAACGTCAGCTAACTAGTAGCCTATACACACTCTGAGTGTGAGAATAACTTATGCACCAAAATCTAACCTATAAAAACATAGTATTTCGGGTACTGGTTCTAGATATATATGAAAAGTCCCACAACATTTTCCTGTTTTCCTTTTCACAGTATGTGCATGAGCAATCGGGGGGGGGGGGGGGGGTGTCTGCTGTTGTTCTGGGGTTTGACTATGCCAAAGCCTTGCTAAAGCCAAGGTATACAACATCCATTTCCTTTCCACTTCTTTTGTCCACAGGGCTGGTCACCTTGCCAGAGAAGGTTGGTCATCATCTTTTGCCTTTGGTAAATCTATCCTGGCTGCTCCAGGTCACTTTATTGCTCTTCGCATGCCTGGAAATGGCTTCTATGAGGATTTGCTCCGTAACTTTTCCAGGGACCAAAGTAAGCTAATTGATATGGACCATCCTCCTTGCCTCCTTCTCGCAGAGTGGTGCGGTATGTACCTTCCAGTGATCAGGAATCTCCACTGACTGCCATGACCTTTTGAAGAGGACAAAGAGTAGCCTCACAATGATGTTGGGCTGCTCCTTCAGCACCCTCAGACACATCTGCTCTGGCCCATGGAGTTCTGTATATCCAAGTGGGTTAAGTGATCCCTAACTTCAACTTGCTCTCCTGTGGGTACTTCATGTGCTTCTTACCCATGGACTCAGCTGTGAGGCTTACAGACCTGGGAAGTCTGGAGGGGCAAAGCCTACCAGGGAAAACTGAGGCAAAAAGGCATCGTATAACTTAGCCTTTTAGATGTTCTTTGTCATTAGATCCAATGAGCAATAGGCCCATGCTGTTTGCTGGCAACATACTTACAAAAAATCCTTCTTGTATTTCACATCCCTTGCTAGTGCCAGCTCCAGCTGAGTTTTGGCTTTCCCAGCTCCATCCCTGCCAGGTCAAGCAGTGTCCCTGTTCCTCCTGGGCCGTTTGTCTCTGCTTCCACCTTCTGTGGACTTCTTTTTTAGTGCTTAAATCAGATCAGTCTTCCTCTTCAGTTTTAGTTCTGTGATCCACTAATGTGTCTTCTTTTGCTCTAACCCACAGAAACTTTGCCGTCATTCTCACAGGAACAATAATATGGTCTTCATTTTAATCATGTTCCAGTTTCTTTTGTGATCAATCTAGAAAGGAAAATGCATGAGGCCAATACTTGGCGAACCCTTTTCGTATAGCAGTTAAGAATAAATAGATGTACCACTGAGCTAATAACCAGACAAAATTTATATGCAAAGTGGATTGTGAAAATATGTATTTGTTTTTTGAAAATGTTTCCAAACTTACTTGCCTTCCACTATATTTCAAAGAAACTGTGTTAATTCAGATTTTTCCATTTTTTTCTGTGAACCATGTTTCTTTCTGAATAGTCCACAGGTGAAACAGCATCTTTCAGTGTTCACACTGATTTTCCTATGTTTTGGAGCAATGTAACTCTAAGCCAGTGTGTGTCACAGCACATGAAGTTCCTGTGAAAGTCAGTCAGGATATATCCTGTAGGTTTGTTATGGAGCATGCAACCACAAAATATGGATCAGAAACATAAAAATGGACCCAGAAATCTGCAACTAGTTAGGGCTGTGCAAGATGTCCACAATGAAAACAGAAACTTGCATGAGATTTGTTTAGTTTGAGGATTTGCTTAAAACTCAGATTAAAAACTGTTTTATCTTTTGACAAACTGTTTGTCCGAAAGTTTGTTCAAATCCACTAACTTGCCTGCTGACTCTAAATTCGTTTTTAGATAAATCTGGGTTGATTTATAAACTGGTATCAAAAATCACACTAAACTTGTGGTTTCGTACAGTTTAAACTGGCCATGCTATAAAAACAAGGTAGCTTTCGGTGGTTTTGGCTGGGTTTTGAATGGCTATTTCGAGTTCATTAGAGCCCCAAACTGAAGGTAGAAAGTCTAGAGGTGCCAACGCTGCAGGAGCCATGTTGGCTTCTGCAAGGGCCAGACTGTAAGGGGAGGAATCTGTCTTTTCTTGGGGGTAGAGGCGCTTCTGTGCTCTATCACAGAAGAAAGCATGTTTGTGTATCAGAAAGGGGGAGTATGCATTCAGGCAGAAGAGTAACTGCTGCAAGTTCAAGACTTATTTATCCAGTTGTGAGCTGAGAGTGTTTCTACTTGCTTTATTATGTCTACTAGTATTAACCTCTTTCTTCAACTCACGCCAGATTTTATCAGCAATATATGTTTTGACAGGCGAGTAGCTATTTTTGGAATGGGGCTTGTGTTTCCGTAACCACTTCTTCTGCATCTGTCTTTGGCGATTCAGGAGGGAATTCATCCACTTGTCTTCTCTGAAGTATGACCCTCCATGCTTCTTCTATTATGTGCACAATTTCACATATTACATTTATTTCTTGTCTTGTATTTATTTTAAAACTTTATTCAGTCACGTGTCTCTGTGTGCATTTAAAAGGAGCCGCAGATATTTACAAGGCAATTTTAACATTTACCAATTATTTTTGTTGGGCTTGTTACTTTAATAGCTATGGTTGTATCAACCTTGACTGATATTTCCTAATTATTCATACCTAGAAGTATTATCAGCCATCACAGAGTGTTACCAGCATCATTTTAAGCTCTCTTCACCTTCTTCAGTCTGGGCTTTATTTGAAAAGCAGACATGCAGTCCCCAGTGAGAATTAAAGTAGAAGCATTAGCTTGCAAAATATATGCCAATGACCTAATGATTCTGACATTTCCACAATACAAGCTTTACAAGAAGGCATGCAGACAGCAAAGTCTGTTTTTCTATCTCATATTTTTTTTTAATGGCTAAATGTTTGGAGGAAACAAAATGGATTTATTCTGCTCAATCCAGGGTATAATATCAGGACTTATCCGGTTCCGGGCCCCAGGGCTTCAGACAACTAACAAAACACATCTTACTTCTGCTCTGCTAGTTCTCTGTTATGCTTTTCACATGCAGGAAGAAAGAGTAAAAGCATAACCCAATTGAATAAAGCAGCATGGCCTGCTATTCTTTGCTTATGAAGCATCACATGATAGACACCAGATTAAGAAGAACCCCCCACCTGTGGTTAAGTGTGTATGCAACTGTCAAGCCGTTTTATTTAATATAGAGGGAACTTCAACATCCCCTTTGCTGCCAGAGTGCAAGAATATGTTAAAAATGTTAATGTCTTACCAAAGCATGCTTCATTTTTTTTAATAATCCAGTGATTCTATGTCATTTAAATAGAATCAAAGATGCTGCTCCCCGATCTATTTTGAAATGCTCTAATCTATCAAATCTTTTGCTCTGATGTACGGAAAGAAAAGTAATCTGAGGTTCTCCTTGTAGAGCTTAAGCTGCAATTTGTTTTTTGGCTATTCAGTCACTGTTTATATAAGGATGTATTGGGATAGGGCTGTTTGCCATGATATGGTAAAAAAAAAAATAACATCTTTTCTAATAAAAATAAGATGCTATTTAAACAAGAGGTTAAACGAAATCTATCCTCTCCATTGACCTTTCAGACTGTGGTAAGCAGAGAACATACAGTGCCAATTTTATGACACAGTCACGTCAAACAAATTGTATGTGATATATTTTAGTTACGATTTCAAAGAAGGTTTTGATGTAAGAATCAGAAGGGAATAGTAACTTCGTGGACCAACCACCTAATGCCTAGACATGCCATATGCAAGAACATTCCCTTAACCACGGAGTTTTCTGGTTCATTTCCTTGAAATGCTCCAAATTTCTCTTGTCGTTACCCTGAGAAGTCACAAGCAAATCTGATGGCGATGTCAAAGACTTAGAGGTGTCTGGCATTTGTTTGGGTACTGGGCTGGCAATTTTTCTCATTTGTGTTTCTCCTTCCTCTCCTTCTTCTGCAGGTGATGATCTAGTTGCAGTGATTTCTTATGCCTACATATATTAGGGTCCTTGCAGCTTAAATTTCAGAGGTGGCCTGCGTACATTAAAATCTTGCAAATCTGAACTGCTTTCTTGTGACAGTGTTCAGTAAATAAGCAATGGAGGAATCACTTCAAAATCATTAGAAATATCTGTACCACAGTTGCCGTTGCTGACTTCTGTGACAGAAATATTTCAAATACCTGGCTATAGACCAAAGAAATACAAGCTTCAAAAGTGGGCTCGTCACTGTGTGTGAAAACCCAGCCTTTGCTAAGCATAAGAATCATGAGTTCCTCTGGGGGATTTAGCCCGAAATTAACATGAGTCCTTTTCTTCTAAAGCTTCTTCCCTGCAGTTGCTGTTTCTCTCTGTGCATATAGAGGGAAAGCATTGCTATTGCCATCATTAGCGTACGGCGTCTTGTTTTAATTTTTAACGTGGGCTTCCATTTGCCACAGAGGTGAAAGCTGTGGAAGCCTTCTGCCTTTGAAGAACTACTTAAGATGAAATGGTTCTGAAGTGCATTTAAGGGTGTTTACTTTAGGCACTTTATTTTTTTCTTTATTTTTATTCCGATTGGAATTGGCTGGTGTTATTCATTAAACTAACAATTTCTCCCCTGCCTGTTCTTAAGTGTGACTTGTGACCTTGCAATCTGTGTATTTTGTCATCACAATGTGTTACCATGGAACTGATTTTGATGTCATGAATAAGGGCATTGTGAGTTTCCACGTTCCCAAGCATATTTGAGACACAGGTTTGGAAACAAAAATGACTTCACCAGTTAAATATTGTTAGATCCTATAGTATATCAAAGGTAAGAACACTTGTGCCCTATATTCCTTTACATAGAAGAATCTAAGGTTAGGAATTTCAAAGCAGGTATATACAAGAATGACACTACAAATAACATTTCACAAGATTAAATATTTTGTGAGAATTGAACTCTCACCTCTTTATGTTGCTATAGGCAAAAATCTTTCTTATTGCTCTTCAAGACTTCTCAGACTGTCTAATCTGGAGCCTGTGTAGAGAGGAAGAAACCCAGTGTGCACAACAGCACTGGGATGCTGCTGGGACTTAACTCCTTCAAGACAATAGTGGCCGAAGGGAATTTTCTGCCTGAGATCGCTCACAGGCAGACAGAGGGCAATGTAACATTGCTGGTTTTGAAGCTAAGCATAATATTTGAGCATTTTTCAGAAACAAGACTTACTTACACAATGCACAAAGGAAAAACATACTTTTGTTGTGCAGCAGAGTGCATGTATTGTGTGCTTTACATTAGAAAGAAAGCAAGTTCCTTCAGTGATCCACCTACCATCATGAGGTTAAAAGAGTTCAATTGAATCTCTTGTCAAGCTGTTCCCCAGGGTGTTTAATTCATCACAGTTAAAGGGTGGATAAGATTCTGTAATAATGAAAAAGTTTGAAAAGCTTCATGTGAGGTTAAAATCCCATGTTGCATAAAAAGTGCTAGTGCAGCAGTAACCTCAGATACAGTTTTGTCTATTTGCTCTGCTATTTTTCCTCCAGATGAGACTTACCCATCCATTGCATTTTACACTCTAGCTCGGTACCATTTTGCTCCTGGCAGCAGGCAAATATGTCCTCATTAAGTAAAATTTATGCTAATACCATTCTGATTAGCCAGCAGTCATTGATATTCACTCTCATTAGCTAAATTGGTTCGCTGGAAGACATCCCACCAAGGATTTTTTTTTCTGTTTTAAGTGGAATATAAAATGTATGGATTTGCAGAGATGACAGATGATGATAATTATACCCTGTGTTTACTTGAGCAGAGGTTTTTATTCTAAAGGCTCCCAAAGTACTTTTCAGCATTTACATCTGCAAGGAGAGAGAAGACTCTTTTTTTCTCCTTTTCAGAAAGAGCCTCTGTCAGAAATACAGAAGCCATTCTGGTTTCACTGTTATTAGACAGATTGCACAAAGGAATCTTCCATTCTGAATTCAGGAGCACTTTTTAATGAGACAGAATGCAGGTCAGTTCCTAGGAAATCTAGCTGGGGAATAAACTCAATTCATGCGTTAATGGGACTTTCTACATGCAATCTTTTTGGAGTAACCTTGCGAGTCTGACTTAACATCTCTGGGAGTTTTGCCTGCAGTAAGATTGCAAAATTAACCTTGGTGTGAATCTTTCATCAAAATTACAAAGATTCTGTCAGCTCATCCGTGAATGTTTTGGTTGAGAGGACCAATAATTTCAGCTGAGAAATTGATTATGTTTTCTTGTGTTGAAACATAAATGATATGATGGTGTGATGAATTATCATCCATTTTCTGTTAGCTCTCTTAAAGTGCTTTTGTTATGCAGGGATGATCAAGTAGGAAACTGGTTTTGCCAATGTGTGACAATCTTGTCATTAACATTATTAAGGCTAAAAATATGTTTCTTTGCATCACAGCCTCCATTTCAAGTGCAAGATGGAAAGCAGTGGTCTTAACACCTTACATTCTTACTTATATTTTTAAAAAATCTCAGTAGATGCCTATCTCTATATGCAGGCATATCTGTCCTTTAGAAACTCTGCTCCTATATTCTTCTAATAAAGCTCTGACTATCTTTAAGTATTGGTACTGTGTATTCTCTGTTTTGTTTCAAGAGGAAAAAATCTCTGGTCCATTCAATCCCTGACCTTACTAGAAAGGTTATAAACAAGGATATCTCTTCATGCCTTTTTTTTTTTTTTTTGCCTTTTGAATCTGTAATCAGTACTACTTCATTTAGGCTGGCAAGCAGATGGCAGCAGCCACTGACCATCGCAAAGGCGAGATGGGAAATGCTGGCCTACAGTGACCTTCGACTGGGCTTGAAATTCCTCGGTTTGTCTTTGAATCCCCATCACTGAATAGCTCACGTCACTCCTGTGCAATAATTCCAGTGTTTTCACATGTGCTCTTCTGTTTCAAATCGTCTCACTCTTATATTGATCTAATCTTTTCTTCAGTAATCAAAACTAATTTCACATCCCAAAGAAGCTTTGGAGGGGAGATCTGTGACCACAAACAGTAATGTGAAACCACCCAGATGCAGATAAATTGCCATTCTCCCTCACTGCACAGAGAAATTGCATCCTAATAGTATAGCAATTACCTTGTTTCCATGGTGACGTGTATGTATGAGAGAGAGCTATAAATAATGTTTTGATGTTTATAAACAATTTCATTTAGACTGAATTATACATACTGTTTGTATGCTAATATCCAGGATGCACTCCTAGTTATTTCACAGCAATCAAACAGCAAGCAGAAAGCTGAAAGTCCACATTTACATCCAAAGGAAAAACTACAGGAGCTGAATTTTTTTCCTTATCATAATGTATACACGTACTAGAAAGAAAGCCTTAGAGAATTAACAGATTTTTTTTCTGCCCATCATCATTAGTCTACTGGGGTTTTGTCCTAGAAGGTAAAACACATTAATGTTACAAATCAGCAAACAGTTTCTGTGCATGTTCGTTTTTAATCCTGTAAACTGATAAAATATCTTAGCTCCATGATTTAAAATTACTTTTTCCCCTGTTACTGTGTAATAGCACAGTATGTTCTATGTCTTTGTTTTGGCAGTGAATTTTCATTGCAAAACTAAAAAAGACCTGTCAGCATTTGCTCAAATAAGGTAGTATATTCACTTCGATAGCAGCTTGTTTGCTAGTCACAAATAATTGTCAGGGGAAAAAAATGGGCTATTACTCCTATGTAATATGGTTGCAAAAATAGTTGCAGTGAAGGGATGTTTCAAGCATAGGCGCATGAATATCCACCAGCAGGTAAAAAGGTGCAGACAAGGGTGCAGCTCTGAAGTGAATGAGTAGTGTTGATAGCAACACGTTAGAGGCATGAAGGGAATTCCTCCTCCTTCCTCCTCCATGGCTGGGGAAGCACGGTTCACTTCTGCAGCTCCTTGGCCATCAGCCAGTGTGATTAAAACGCTGCACCCTACCTCGGTGTGCTTTAATTGCTGCCTACACACTTTGCGAGTGGTGTTTGTACTTGTTTAGCTTGGGACCTTTGATAGGCTTAGCAGCCAGGCTGGAAGAGGGAAGCAAACACAAGTGAACAAATTTATGTTAACAGACGGTAAGTGTTCGTACTGCATAACACCTGTGGGCAGACACGTAGACAGCGGTGGGTATGCCATTTAAACAGCAAAAGAGTGCCATTTACCCATTGTTTGGGAGTAAATGAAATACATTGCATTAAGTTTGTTCCTTGGCAGTCATCCCAGTCAAACTGCCATGCTGGTTAGCTGTGGACGCCCCTGTATTTACATTAAAATAGTTTGGAAAAATTCGCCTTTATTCATGCCCTGAGTATGCAAACATGATCTCCTCAGCGTGAGCTGCAAGCAAGGCAGTGAGGTGTGCTGAAGATTGGGCTTATGCCTCTCCGGCTCCTCGGTCCATGCCATGGCTGTTTGCTAGTTGCAGAGCAGCCTACCCAGGGCAGCAATCCCAGTCCAGTCCCCTGAGTGGATGACATCTGCCTTTGATTTCCTGACACATGCCATAGCCAAAATGACACAAGTGGAATAATTGCTTCATCAGGTGTGGGGGGGGGTTTGGTTGTTTGCCTCTTCCACACTTCAAGTGACTCCGCAACCCATGCTGAAGATGTGTAACAGCACACTCTCATGGCACTGTGTTTATTTCGCACAGGTTTGTTGCTGGTCTTGGAAAGAAAGACACCGATGGCTTTTGATAAAGCACCAGGAAATCAGCTATGACACCAGGCTTTCCAAATAACAGAGGCTAAATGCTGTGGGCTTCAGCAGAGACCGGTGTCACCTGAGAATATGCTTAGGCACCAGCTGCATCTCTCTTAACTAATTTCTCCATTGCATGCCGCCAAGTGTTCTCCTGAGCTGGTGACATGATAAGGAGAAATGAGTGCACCAGTGCCAGAGTGCTCGTTTTCCACTTGTTTGTCTGTAGCTCTCAAAGTTAAGTTCTGGAGGTTCGCCTTCTGCCCTCTCCTCCCCCAGAGGATGCAGAAGTAGTCACTGCCCAATGGTGTGGTGAAGTCAAGCACTTTTCATGGCTGAAAATAACTCCAGACATAAATTGCCTATGGTTTGGTGAGTGGTACGAGTATAACTGTGTTCTGCAAATGGCTGTGGTGAAGTTAAAAAGCCTGCTAAGTCTGTGCATTGTTACACCTGGCGTATGCTCCATGGCTTCCCAGGTTTGATTTGGTCTCCCTGACACGTCCGCTGTTACACCTGACCTTAAGATTGAGTTTTATGAAGGTTTTCTGGATGACAAAAAAGGGGAAACTAGCTAGCCATTGGGCAGTATTTCAGAAATGAGATCTTAAGTCCACCCAGTAACATCGTATTTTTCTGTGTAGGTTTGGGTTTTTTTAAATATTTCCACTGTCTTTACAGAATTGCTCTTAACGCCTTTTGGCTTTACATATTCATCTGAGAAGAAGATGACGGTATATTCCAGATTTGTTTGTTTCAGATGTCTGAACTTGGAAGAATGACATCTTATAATATATAGTGTACATCTGAGAAGGCTTAGAAAGAAGAAAAAGAAGGAGCCGTCTTCTTTTGCAACTGAAATACAAAACTCCGCCACGATCACATGGTCAGGTTTTTTACCTGAGGTAGGAGGAAAGAAAGATTACGGGCATTATTTGAACAGAAATGTTCAGAAAGATACTCCTTAAGCTAGGAGTAAAATTATTTTCTCATCACACGCATGCACACAAAAATGAACCCTGAAAGCTATTCATGAATATGGATGTATGCAACCATGCCAGCCTTGTAACTCTTACAATTATATACTGAATAGGATATGTGCCAAAATTATGGTTTGTCACAGACTTCATTGTTTCAGTTCTTTCAGTTTTTTTAATCTTTATGGGACTGCTTTTATGGTTTGTTTGGCTTTTTTTTCTTCCTGGTGCTTTTGTTGAGTGTGTGAGCTATGCTATCAGTTTAAGACTAATCCTGAAAATCCCCTGTTAAGAGGTCTATTTTCAATAGCTGAATTACTGAAGGGTGGTAAAACATGGGAATTGTGCTAAACTCAAAGCTTTTAAACAAAACATGTTTAAAAATTTTCAGAAATGAAATGGGATATTTAGGATGAGGTGTTCAATAGTCAGAGGGATTTAATAACTTTTGAAGCTGGACTTAGAAAACCCTCTCATTTAGGTCACAGCATCCTCAAGTTTTGGTGAAAACCACCACCTTTGACAAGTTTCAGGCCAGGAGCTTGAGTAGAGTCTGATTTGATTTACTGCTCCTTAAATTGATGTGTCTTACCTTGCAGTCATTCACGGTTGAAGGGTAAGCTCAGTTCCCTCCTCTTTCAGCTGGAGACGATGGGAGCAGGCAAACACTTCACTGCTCTGAAGTGCCAGCAGAAAGGCTTTCAGGACTGTGGCCAACACCCTCTACAAGCACTTTTTGGATCTGTCTCAGCTTGAGTAGACATTTGAACAGGCATCAGATTGTGAGGGAGTGTAGCTAACTAAAAAGCTGAAGTAGAGAAAGAAGCTTAAGTGAACCCATCTAGGGAAAAGAGGCATCTATTGAATGCAAAAGGTTTTAAACAGAAAACTGTGGGTAATGTTTTTAAAGGAGAGCAAATGCAGGTCCTTGGAAAAACATCTATTTGACTGGGTTTTGGTTTTGGGTTGGTTTTTTTTAAAGATTTCTGTACGTTCTCTTTGCTGGTGAGCAGCTAGGGATGGGGAGAAAATTTCAGGAGTACCTGAAAGTAAAAATTGTCAGTGCTGGTACTCTCACTAGATGTGTTTTACATATACATGAATTGTTCATACAGAGTCAAAAGCCTACAAAAATGGTTCAATAATTCAGAATTATCATTTCAGCATTAAGTTTTCAAATACAGCCGAATCATAGGGTAGCACTACCAGGGATGGTTTACGGCTCATTGCTTCCTACTTTGTATCTTTGGGACTGAAACTTGGTATTTACAGGGACCTTTAAAATAGAGATGCCTCTAGATGAGCTAATGGGAGCATTACATGCACTCAGGAGTTTCTGTTTCATGAACCTGAAGACTAGATAATCTGAGTATGAGTAAAGTCATTGGGAACCAGGAAATCTGGTGTCCTGACCTGATGCCTGTGTCCTTTTGCTATTACTTTTTCCTCTTATAAGATTAATATGATAATTTTGTTGGCTATCACACGGACTATTTCTATTTCATGGAAATTTTTCAGTGCAGAATATATGAACTGTTGCAAAGCATCTGGAGATGAATAGCACTAGGGGTATAAGTAGTCAGAATCAGTGTGGGTGGAAAAAAATCCAGGATATTCCACTTCTGTAAAAAGACCTTCAACCAGAATAAAAGAATCTTGTTCAGAGGCTTATACCAAGAATAAAATGTATTATCAATGCTTAGGAGTGGTTCTGTTTGACTAAGAAAATGCCATTAGAACCAAGTATTTATGACTAAACACACTTGAATAGAAAACATGCAGAGAAAACTCTTGGTAGTTCATTTGTCAAAAGCTGGCTGAACTGTAGCCCTGTAATAATTATGTACTGGATATCACAGGCAGAGAAGCTGGTGACCGCAAACTGACTTCCTCATTCCTTCTCCTTCCTCCAGGAGTGGTTTGGATTAGGTAGTCAGCTGAAACTTCCAAAGCACATATTTTCTTACCATGCTGCTGCAACTCATCTCCAGGTATTTCTTTCTGAGATTCCCACTAAATGCTTTTTATTTTTTTCCACCCTCCTCTTTTGTCCATAAAATTAAAAGTTTATTAACGGATTGACTTAGTTAAGTGCTTCCCAAGTCCCTCTGCAAGTATGCACACATACAAATGCACAGAGAGGAAAGCAACCTATGCACCAGGAAAAAAAAAGAAAGACAGCTGGGTATTGCTGAACGTAATCCAACAGTTCTCCGGTTCCTTGTCCTGAACAACAGATATTCTGTATCACCTAATATTAACAAACAAAAGATTTTTTCCCACGCCATTATATATTTACATTAGTTTACTGTTCAAGCTTGGCATGTTGGCTTCCTAAGACTATTTGATCCTAGATGCAGCTCTGTGCCAGAATTGCTGGAACAAAATGCAGTGGGTGGACAAACCTGTCCTGCTGCATTGCTTCTACCCTTTTAAAAACAGAAAGCATTTATCTGACTCATTACTGTAAATGTACTAACAGAGCATACCGGTGATGATTTTCTGACTGAAAGTGCTGCGTCTGCTCAAAAGGTTAACATGGGTGCAAAGTAAGTGCATATCATGACACATTTGTTGATACCAGCCAGGGGCAAATATTAAGTAGCTTATATTTTAAAGAGAGAGATAAGGAAGAAGGTTTATGAGGTGCTTGCCAATAAACGTATATTCATCACAACACTCCTGTGCATTGTAGTAACCAGAGTGGGTAGGGCTAGTAATGACAGCCCCAGACCAAAAACCAGAACATTTGGGTTGCGGCCCTAACTCTTGACTTTTCTTTTTACTAGGGCCTTTGGCAAGTGATTTAGAACTAAATTAGGCTTCCTCTTGTTCCTGACTAGGTGAAGGAGGAAAAAGGTTTCACACATCTCTACTTTCCCCCATTGCAAAATGAGAACTTTTCTTCTTTTCTTAGAGACCTACAAACAAAAAGACCTGCAAATGAAAGAAAGAAGTACTATCAGGTGTTATTATGGTGCTGCTGACACAGTACATCTGGAAGGAAATGTGGAAAATTTGTATCCCTCTGTTTCAGTAAGAGGCCGCAAAATCCACTCTCTTTGAAAAGGGAAATACTGAGGAGGTAAATTGCTCTGAATATCTGCAGTGTGTATTTTTCAGATATGCCCACACATATTTTTTTTAATATATTTACATATATTTTTACATGTGTGTGGAAATACATGTGTGCTAAGTGTGCAGTTTGGGATATATGATGCAATTTGAGGAGTGCCTTTTTTTCTTCTGTCTTGGTATGCTAATTCTTATGAGTACTGCTAAGTATATATTTCTTTAAAGCATATAATACCTCAGAAAGGTGTTGAGACAAGTAACCATATTCTGTGCGATGGCTAGCACTACAGAAAATGTGTGACACTTAAATTTCACTGCCTTTTTAGCCAGCCTAACCTGGAGGCTGAACTCAGCTTTAATGGCAGGATGCAATCCATGCAGGTAATTGGGATTCAGCTGCTGCAAGAGCCTTTCGGCGTAGCCTGATGAGCTAGCAGCAGCCTGGATGCACTCCAATGAAATAACCAAGGGAGCATTGCAATGCACACCCTTTAGGATCCTTCACAACCAGTATCATAATACTATTAAACATTCACCCTTTGGATTAGATTTCTCTGCACAGCGCATATATTAAGAGGAAGTCAAAATCATAAATAAGCTGCTTTGTAGGGAACGGCTTCATCAAATCACAGGATAATTGTCTGGCTTTTTAGAATTCTCTTTGAAATAATTTCTGTGGGGAAATAGTTCATGCATAAAATCAGGAGTTGGAGATCGGTTGGAAGAGACGAGAACAGGGTGGCAGTAAAAAGGAAAAACAAAGCCAATTTCACTGACATAATGGAGTACCTATTCCACAACACATAAAATAATAGAGCTTACAGTTAAAAAAAGGAAAAAAAATAACTAAGGAAAATATAATTAGTGCCCAAGAGCAGCTGAGGCAAACGGTAGAGGGGAAATGAGAGTTCATTCACATGATACAATTTTTGGTACTTAATTTCAGTGGATAAATTATCCAGTGGGTCTCCCTGGGTTTTTTTTCCAGTTGAGAAGGAAAAGAGGTTCTGTCAGAGGTGATCTAACGCCTCCCCCAGAGCAAGTTTGCTCTCCCTATTGAGGAAGTCTAGAGAGGCTGTCAGCTCACTTAGCCTGTCTTTTGAGTTGAGTGGTGTGAATAGTCTTCAAAATGCCTTTGGTTTTCTTTTTACCCAAAGATTGAGGGAATGCTCCTTTTCATTCTCAGCCACAGGAATTAAACAATAAGATCAAAATCTTGTAATCTCCTTGGGAATTCCTTTTAGTTGTATGGGATCTAAAATGCTGGCTTTCCCCTACATTTCTGGGCAAATGAAGGCAGAGGCTAATCATATAGCTAACTTTCAATGCAAATATTTCCAATGTCTGTTGCAGTGTCATTTGTTTGGGATTGCCTATGAAACAAATGTGTTAATTGTTTTTAATACCTATGAATAAGTTTAACTGTCATTAAGCTGGTTCTGTATTGAATGTATGGTCTGTTTACAGCGCGAACGAGAGGACCTGGCACTTTATTGTTCCAAATTTTTTGGCCTTTCATAGTACCAACTTATGGAAAGGACCATTGTATGAAATGGAATCTCACTAGGGTGTCCAAATAGGTAATACCTAGTGTATTGCTTTCAGTAAAAACAGCACAACTAAAGATTTTGAATTTACAACATTATTATTCCCTCTTCTTCAGTGCTCTGTGCAACACTGTACAAACAACAATCACGTATTGTGTGTAAACTGACGTCTTCATTCCTCACCAAACAAGTCTTTTAAAGCACATGCATCTGTACTGCAAGAATGTGCAGGGGAAAAAAAAACTGGATCTTTATTTAAAAAATGAAATGCAGATATTGAATTTGCAACTTCATGTCCCCTGTCAGATAATGATCCCCTACAATTTTCTAATAGCAAGTATAACACCAAAAGGAAAATACTTGGCAGCCATTGGGCATGTTTGTTCTCCAATGAAACAGTCGGAATGTGCAGAGGTGCAGAGATGCAGATGGGAACTTTGGATTTGAGGGGAAAAACTTTTGTGGGTTCAGCCTACAATGCTGTTTGTTTTGCATGCAGGAGGTTTCTTACAATATCACAGTGGCACAAACTGAAATTGCTTACAACTTCCCCTGCCTTTCCAACTTTGATGTTTTTTTGCCTTTATACATGGTTTTAGCTGTGTATATCCTGCATCTCATTGTGGCAGTCACTCAGAAGAATATTGGGTCTTTACTGTACCGCCTTTGCTGTGGGAACTGTCATTGGAACAAAAGGTCTGGAGGATTGGAAAGGAAACGTGCAGTCATTCTGTCCAGTTATGAAAATCACTATGAATGCAAATTATCTGTATCTTTATAGAAAGCGTTTTCTGTTGAACATCAATTGTGCCTTCAATAGTGAAAGGCATATGCGCTATTTCCATGGGAAAGATGGTACAAGGGAAGGTCTTGATTTGTTATGTTCAGTATCACTTTGGGGTTTTGACCTTAAATTAAGAAAGAAATCCATGAAAATATGTTTAAAACTTTAAGTGACCTACTTGCAATGTGCTTCATTTTTGTTAAAAGATTTACAAACCTTTGACGAGTTTCATCTATTTTCCAGATGTCATCATAGAAACAAATGTAATAGTACCATTTGCTATAAAAAATTCTTCAGCTCTATTAACAAGTTTCCCATGATGTAATTAGAAAGAAGGTGTAGTGTTTTCTTTGGCATCCATGGATAAAATGCTGTACATACTTATGCTGCTATAAACCCAGGCCAACTCAGTTCATTTTAATGAAGTTATTTTGGACTTAGTTCATGTGGAATTTGGCTATACCTTTATCTATAGTTGGATATCTTCCCTGAGAGACAAATACAACAAAGTTTGTACATTTTCTTTAGATTTCTTATACGAAGACACTATTCTCAGTATCAAAGAGGTTGCTACTATTCTGATCAAGGTAAATGCTGTAAAATATTTCAGATACAGATTCAGGTGGGGTTTTCAGATGTTTCCATAACTTGCTTGAGTGAACTGGAACATGTGCAAGTGCTGAAGTCAGGGTCTTCAAGCTGCTCCTCTACATCTCTTTCTTACTCGTCTCTGTTCACTAATCTGTTATGTGAGGTTCATGGCCAAGAAACATTTTGGTGTTGGATGCCACATTTTATGTCACAAAACATTTATGTTTTTCTCATTTGAGCCAGCCAAAGTCTCTAGTAATAGCAAGGTTGGTAGTGCTTGTGCCAATTTCTCTGGTGCTACTGGTGTAGGTAGCTGACTTTGGACTGTGATACCAAACACAGGCACGTTCACTATTATTTCTCACAAAACACAAAAACTGCTTTGAACTTGAAATCTGCCTATCATTTGTCTTCCAGAGAAGCCTTCACACAAACAGCTTTTGCATAAGGCCTTGATGTTTTCTTTCTTTTTTCTAAATGAACAACAAACAAAAAGAAAGGGAACTAGAAGGGGAATAAAGTAAGTTTTAATGGACACACATTTTATCTTTTGTTTTCTGCTTGCCATAAAACATTAACATAGTAAACAAATTGATCTTTGCTCTTAAATTCTTTAATAACATACAGTCTTATGAGTTTTGTCATGGCTAAAGTGTGGTTAAACCATGTTGTGTTGCTGGTTGCATTCAAACCTCTATTGTCACAGTTCTTTGACATCAAACTACATCTTTTAAAATAAAAGCTGTGTGTAACCCACTTCTGTTCATAGACACCTTCATTAAAAGGTTGCCATTTGGGGGGGAGGGGGATGTTTCAGTACATTAGTGGTAATGGTGTTTTCTGACCAAACCTGTTTTTTCCTGGGACAAAGTTCCAAGTCCGTGCATTCCCATGGTCATCCCCTGCTTTGTGCCGTACAGTACCCACAAAAACAAAAATTGTATAGGGTGCTCTGAAACATCAAATTCTAGACAGCTAATCCAGTCGTAGGACTGTTATCATGATGTTTCAGTAGCTGACAAAGCTATTTGAAATTGGGGTATGTAAAAAAAAAGAAAGTGTCACTTTGGTCCACTTTTCGGAGTGGTTGGTGTTATAATATATAACCTTTTTTTTTTAACGCAGTGTAGTTCACAATAATTTAAAATACTCTATAGACATTTAAACGATATACAATAATATAACTTAATTGGATTCCTCAATTGTACTTAACAAATACTATTCTAATATATTTACAGTATCTAGTACCATAAGACTGTGCATTACTGTGCTTGGGAGCTTTATTTGCTTCCTGTCAAGAATGTAGTGAAAGTACAGTATATCACTATTATTCAACAACAATACCCATGAATCAAAGGGACTTAAATTATATGGAGTGACTCTAGCATTTTGGGGGGCCCCTGTTGACTTCTATGGGGTTGTTCACATCATGGTTGGCATTTAGAAACCAACAGCAACAATATAAAAAATGAGCTTTTCAACTTTGGATTGCTCCATGGCAGGCTCATCAAAGGGCTCTGATTTTCAGAGGGTAAGTGCTTGGGGTCAGAAAGACAGGTCTTCATGAGTGTTTCAATGAAGGTCCCCAAGTATTTAGTTACCTTTGATAATGCAGGCCCATAAAATATGGAGGTAATCCTGGCTCATTCACATATCCAGCATGGGAGCTGGTGGAGCAGTAGCTCCACCAGCCCCTTGCCCCAAGGGCACCATGTGGTGTGGCAAGTGCTTCCATGTCAAGTGGGGAGGGCCCATGGCTGCGCAGCCCCTCAATAAAAGTAATAAAATGAAACAAAATCTAGAAATGCAGATATGCAGATGTTAGGAAATTTTTAATCCCAGTTTTCAGAAAATCAGGAAGGGACCCTTGCTACAAGCAAACATTTATGTGCTTAAATGCACTGTGTTATAAGTGGGCATATCTGACTCTTGGGTTTACAAACACTAGATTTTACAGTAGTAAATTATCTGAGGACTTTCTTTAAATCTCTCATAGGGAAAAGGTGTGTAAATTAGAATTGAGTGCTGGTGTAAAAAGTCAGTTTCTTCCTTAACATTCATGTATTTACCACGGGGTACGTTATTTCCAACCTTAGAATAACAACAACACAGACGAACCCATATTTTAGCTTTCTCATGTTCATGAAGCCACCACAGCTCACAGGTTGCAGCAACGTAGAGCTTAGCTACCATATTTTTATTAACTTCTCAGTTCATACTGAGCATAAGTTACTTAAAGCTACTGGTAATATTAACTTTCAACCAGTAAAGGCAAAACACAATGCTTGAAAGATTCTGCCAGTGCATTTAACAGCAAAGCAAAACCTTTGATATTTGTCGAAGCATGTCTTTGTATCCTAAAACTCCCTACAAGGAGCTGAGAGCAGGTGCTCCATGCCTCAAGCCTGAGTCTAAAAAGAGTCATTCTTAATCAGGAGGCAAGTGGGAAAAGTCTTTATCAAGCATTTGTAACCACAGTTTCGCATGATCTTTCTGCTCAATTCTGGTAATTGCTTAAGGCCTACAGTAATTGAACTCTAATAGTGGAGTGACAAGAGATCAGTAGCATTGAAGAACTTAGGGAGAACCAAATACGAAAGTCATAGTCAGAGTTCCAATAAGTTTACATTTAGTACAGAATTAAGACATAGCTACCCGTTAGTGCTTAGAATTTTTTGATACTATTAAAAACATAAATAATTATTTTTAATGTTCATTCAAAGAGTTCCAGTGTCACTGGCAGCTGATGTAATTTTGTGAATGTTATTTTTTCCAAACTGATAGTGGAGTATTTCCGCCACAGATTTTGTCTCCCTACCAGCTGTTTTCTCTTTACCTGCTTTCGTAGAAATTTAGGATTTTGCAGCAAGTCTGCGGTGTTCTAGTCAGTGAAGATTTCATTTACTTTAAAAACAAAAAAAAAAAAAAGAAAAAAAAAAAGGTCTTTATTTGCACAGGGCTTGGTGGTTTTGTTGTTGTAAAATAGGAGAAAGAGTCTTTTTCTTTTAAATTTCATGGGAGCTGCAATGTGATCAGCTTCTCTGATATGTATAACTTAAAACACACGAAAATCTGCAACACCCAGATTGTAGTTTAAAAAAAAAGTTTCATGTGTTTGTCAACATCACCTTAATCCTGTTGCCCTTGTTTCCAAAGCAGTTACAACAGCCAGCCAGCAAAAATGCACCATCCTTTGAAGTGTAAGTAGTGGGGAGGGAGTGGTTGTTGTGGTGGTGTTTGGGGTTTTTTTCCCGAAGAAGATTAGATGTGCAAAATGATGCTGTCGTCGTTGGTTGTACTCCACTTTCTTCACTCGTGGTGATTGGTTCTGTTTGTTTGCACATGACACCATTATTTGCAGGTGAACACCTCTGTCCGCTCACTACACGTGTTGCACTTCACAAAGCAGCACCAGTGGAATTTGCAATTACATTGCCACACCTTGGTGTACTGGTGTGTGTTGTACCCTCTTCCGCAGCACATCATGTCACACCCATCCGCATTGGGTGAGGTACGGTTGCAGAGTCGTCCCTGGGTACCGACACTCCCTGTGGAAGCATCTTCCTCACAGTAGTTAGGTGACTTTTCGATATACACTAAATCTGTTTCCATGGGTTTCTGGTAACTCTTAATCTGCTTGATCTTCAGGAAGGTTGGCTGTCTTAGTCTACTGGCTCGTACCACCTCCACTTGCACTGCAGCATTGTATTTCTCTTTCAAAATATATCCAATCTCCCTGAATTTAGGAAGCGTGGTCCAGCAGGTCTTAGTTGTACAGGAACCTGAAACTCCATGACACTTGCACTCTAATTTCATTCTCTCTTCAAGAACCTGTGTGTACAGACATTTGCATATTGTTACTGCAAGAAAATGATATTGCAAACTTGCCTAAATCTGTCTGTTAGTTCATATGAATATTCATTACTGCTGATTGAAATTTTTCGAATGCATGCTTATAAATCTTCTCAGCACCAAGTCGAATGCTTATAACACATTTTGTTTTACGCGGTGCCTGGTTGGAAATGCAGTGTTTTATCATTTTGTTAGAAAATGTTTTCATTCTGTTTCCAAACAGTGGACAATATTTACTTAAATTTCAGAAGACGTGTCTTTAGAGCCAAAGTAACTTATAGGACTGCAGTGACTTAAAAAAACACGCTTCAAACCGTTTTCATTTTGAAAACAGGAAAAAAGTGTTTTCTTAAGTGATTCAGAATATTTAACCTTAATTGCTGTCAGTAATGCTCAAAAGGCATTTTAAAAAAAAATTTAATATCACAGTTTTTTAATATCACAGCTTTAACATATACTGTGTGGCTGAATAGGCATTTGTGTTCACTGCTTAATGAAAAATGTTGCCTATAGTGGCAGCGGCAATACCTATTAACTATTCAACCCACAGAGTATACCGTCCCCTTTAAAACAGCACTCCTTGCAATATCTACCTGACTATCATGCAAGTGTTCAGATATCTTTTGCACTGAAGCAATGACTGAGCAACATTAGAGGAAAAATCCACTAAAGGGTCCTGCTCATCTGTAAACTGCACAGAAATGGGAGCATTTATTGCTATTGATAGAGCAGGTTAATCTCAAGGAGGTTAATCCAGCATCAGATGTTCCCTAGAAGGGACCCAAACTGGTGGGTGCTCAGGATCATGCTCCACCTCCTGCTTCTGCTGCAGCCAAGCTGGGCTATGGCTGGCACATCCCTCCTTCCCTGGGTATGGGTGTATGCCTGGGGGAAGACAGGCAGATGCCCTCCCGCTCCCTGTGCATGGCAGAGGGGAAACTGGCCTTGTGGAAGCGCCTTTCTGGTTTTTTGCCCTTGTGCTACCACTGAAGCCTGACCATAATTACATCCACAGTCATCATTAGCTTATGAAAATCAAGGCCTAAGAACAAAGCAAACTGATCTTTCCCCTTTGCAATGGGATGCTAACAGAGAAATATGAGCTACCGAGCTTGTCTTAAAGCATTACTGATGCTGCAGACCATCTCCTGCAGTGGTTTCATTGCAGATCCCAGAACATGACTGAAATGGGCAAAGGATAAAAGGGCCGAAATCTGAGTACAATGGCATAATGAAGTAGAAGGGAGTAAAAAATGCTTACTGCTTAAGAAACTGGCCTTAAAATAAAAGCTGTACAGATCTGGTTATCCCTGCAAATAGAGGGCACCCTCCTGAGTTGTTTGAGTTTCACTTAAATTGTATGTTTTGCTTTTTCCCCAATTTCTGGGGTTTCAATATTAAAGAGAGTATTTGGTTTTAATTCTGCCTTTCCAACATACAGTAGCAAGTACAAGACAGCTGAGCATCCTATTCAAGAATACCTTAGACCTTCTGCAACCACAGGCTTTTCCCAGGTCAGGGTCAAGTTAACCTATCAGAGACAGAAAATTTGATTTCCAGGAAGGTTTACCAGGTTAGAGAAGTTCCTATATCTGCAACTACTCTAGAAAAGAAAAGGCAGAATTTCAGTGTCAGTGAATAAAGGAATGCCTTGTGAAAAACTCCAGCATCTTTTTGATGTCTCCTCTATCTCTACTGTCCTGTGCAAAAGGACGTGCTTTTTTGAAGACCCACAAACAAGATTCCAATCCTGTTCCACAAAACTGGGTTAATATATTCTATTGGTATTTAGATGTGCATGTAGAGAGGTATAAAAGTTTTGTAAGATTTGCTTGATATTGCTGAAATATGTTTTTTTTTAAACTAGCCTGTTTCTACAGCTTTCTCAACCACTAGTCAACATTCAGTTGCAGCCACAAGAATTGCAGTAAAATCCATGACAAAAGGTGGATGGAGGTAATATTTTCTACACCTTCGCCAAATAGTACTAAGATCTAAGGACTTCCAGGAAAGCATTGCCAATGGGATAGGTCTGCCACATCTGATTCATGCTCCTCTTTCCCCAAGTAGTAAATCTTGGTGAAAAGTACATGTTTTGTCATGTTCTGGGTGTATTTTTGATGTCTGTTATTTGATTGAAAAGGCCAAGTCAGTAACTTGCTCAGAGAGTGGGAGGAGGTGAAGCTTGTGAGACTCCTTATTCTTGTGTGGGTTGAACACACTGGACACTGTTCCAAGGAGCCTTCATCTCTGTCATTGGTGTGCTTCCCTAATACAACAGAAAATGTCTTTGTTCCTGACAGACAAAGATATCAACCATTCTGGTGTCGTACGGGTATCTTTGTATACGCACATTTATATACGGATGTGTGTGTGTACGTTTGCCTCTCTGTGCAAATTTGGTTGAGATGCTGCCATTTATACACAGCACTGCCTGGCATCCTCTGTAGTACAATGTCCAGCAACTTTATCCTAAGCCGTGATTTCTCTTTTTGGTTTTGTCTTCCTGAAGGTCCAGTTTCACAAGTCATTTTGCTGTACAGAAATCTGATTTCACTGCTGTATTTTTTCGAAGGTTCCCACTGTTTATGATGGTGGAAGAACTTGCAAATACAAGCCACACAGGCTCAAGAAAAGCAGAAGTTTCAAGAAGTATTAATTCATGATCTTGAAGCCAATCTCACAGTTTTTTTATTTTTTTGGAGGTTTCTCTCATGAATGTGGAATGCTTGGGGTTACAACACTGAGCACAGGCCCAATCATCAGGTAGTTAAATTCCTGAATGCTATAATTTTTGTGCCCACAGTCAGCTGAGGGTATAAAATTGTGCCCAAAAACTTGGAGGTCAGGGAATACAAGGCCCAAACTAAGCAGATTCTAAGCAACTTTTTTCTCTCTTTCCACCCAGATGCAGTGGAGTATTCCCTTTGCCGACAAGCCAGCATGGTCTGACTTTCACAGAGGTATGTCCATCTGCGTGGTATCTTGAGCAGCTTCCCGCTTGCAGCAAGGTGCCACTCAAACTGGCAAAGGTGCCAGGATTTGCCCCTGTTAGCTCAATGCTGTGAATGAAGAGCAGATAACATTTTTCTTCCTCAGTTTCCCTCCTGCTGTATTCTCCTCAGCAAAATTCCCATCAAAGCTTTGACCCTGAGCCTTAAAGGTATTTATTTACTCAAATCTAATACCTTATGCCAAGGTAGGTGCCTGATTAAAGATTGAAAATCATTAGCTCGTGCAACCCACTCTCTCAGCAGTTTCATTTGTCATATGTCAGTGCCTCATATCTAATCTTGAATGGTTTACAGCAAGATCTACCTCCCAGAGTAAATTCCCATCACTGGACTGTACTGCTTCAGACTAATGGTAGGAACATTCCTTAAGTCCCTTTTCCACACACAGGCCCACTCCCACCCCAGTATGATCTTGCCAAGCAAAATTTTCTAACTACTGCTACTTTGTTCAATGAATTGTGAAATATAATGTTAAAGCTTTCTTATCCCACATATTTTTATACCTATATAAATCATACACTGAAAATGCAATTTGAGGGTTGTCCGCTGCCAGTTAAGTAGAAAAGACTAGCAAAGGCTGAAATAAAACAAAATGATACTCATGAAAAGAAATTCATGCTTTCAAGTTCCATATCTAGACCCAACTGCATAACATCAGATACAGTTTCTGTACATATTAAAAATCCTATCTGGATAAAATATGTAGAAACAATAGTAACATTTTGTGTGTGTGTGTTTTGGCTTGCCTTTTCTGGTTTGTGTTTTCCTTAGTGGAAATGCACATTTTTGGACCAGATGTTGAATGTAACAAAATCCATATTACTTTTTGACTGCAGCATCAAAATGAAATAGAAAACTTCAGTTTTCCCCCATCAAATATGCAAGTGATCAATTTTTGTTTTGGGTAATAGCAACAACAAAAGAGGTGGATCCTGGTCACAAGATGTCACCACCCCTTTGATACTCATGCAGCTGCAGCCATGAGAGCTGATGGCTTGTCGATGATGATGTATAGGCACTGGGTAACCTTAGTCTCAGTGCAGACTAGGGTCCACGACTGCTGACAAAATGCTGATCTCATGGACCAAGCTGGGAAACAAAGTTGGGGTTTTGGGGTTTGTTTTTTAACGCAGATAGCCAGGGGTGTAACTAACATTAGCAGGGTGTAATGCCACTCCAGTACAAATGTCCTGAAAATATTATCCATTAATAGCAGCTCACAGAGCCCAAAATTGAGCAGTTCATGCCATGACTCCTTGGGCTGTGCCCAGCCCCGTAAAGAGAAAACATGGAGCCAGCAGGAAGTGAGTGCTTCAGCTGACATATTTTTCTTTCTGCTCCTCTGTGAGGTTGTTCCATCAAGCATCAAAACAGTATTTATACTTTGTGGGATGGGAGATGAGAAACTGAGTTACTGTTTTCTGAGCCTCTTCTCACATCCCTGTTTTCCTTTTTGTTTAGTTTTATGGGAGCAGGGAGCCTCTGTTTTGCAGCAGGTCAGTATCCATCCACAGCATGAGGGCTTTTTTTCCTGACACTGACCAGAGCTCAGCAGGGCTGTGGACCCCCTGAGCTGCAAGAGGAATCAGTTCACCTCCTCCTACCCTTCACCTGCCTCCCTAGGTTAGGCACTCTTTCCCGTAATATCCCCATTAAATGCATTTAAAAGAAAAACAAACTGAAGAATGCCCACCCAAGTTCTCCTCTCAGCTTGCAAGAAAATAATCCTGGGATTCTGAGATGAAACTCTTTATTAATATGAAGATGGGCTATAGAGGTTAACTCATCTGTGCCTCTTTCCTGCCTTCCAGAAGAAGATAAAATAGCTGCTAAATTTGACCAATAAACTGCTGCAATTGGTTAAAACTTTCTGAATTATATTTTTACAGTGAATCGCAAAGATCCCAAAAAATCTTTAGAAGCAGTTTTCACATCACCCCCAAACCAAGTGTGACTGCAGTATTT